ATTCATCTAACTATTTTACCTTTGAGAAATAAATAAATAATCATTATTCCTTATTTATGTATTAATCTTGTTTTTTTTTCTCCAGTTTTCTATTCTTTCATTTCATTCATTAAGTTTTTGTTATTATTGATAATTTAGGCCTACTAAGAACCATTTTATTGTAGTACTGGGTACGTGCCTGATTGCCATTGCTTTGTTTTGGGCACTAGTAAACGGTGCCCAATAGTCATGCAGGGGCGGATCCAGGATTATTTGAAGGGGGGGGGGGGTCCGTGGATGCCAACCCTTCCCCTCCCCATGATTCAACTAGTCAAAATTCTAATTTGAAGAGGAAACCTTTGGTGTGATTTTTTCAGAAATCGAAGGAGAAGGGGTCAGGACCCCCCTGACATCCCCCTAAATCCGCCACTGGTAGTGTGCGTTTAAGACTTCCTGCCCTGTATAAAAAAATAATAATAACATTATAGATTAATTAATAAACGCAAAGATGAAATTCCTGCAAATCACAATAAAATATTTTACTTGTGAAATTAAAATTCGTACACAAGATGGCTAAACTTTTGCGTTTTAATATTTTCTGATTGTTATATTATTAAAACATCAAGTATTTCAAGCATTTGAAGACCTACAGGGTACCTCATACATGATACGTGGTATCCATGCAAGAAGCTTTGGCTTTTTTTTAGTGTGTATTAGGGTCTAATGAATTCTGTTTTGTCTCTGGAAGTAACATTTCCGAAAAACAACTGCTTTCCAGAGGCACATGTACATGCAATATCACTGCTTCTTCAGATCCTCCCTGAAAACTATGGATTGACGATATCGATATCTGATCCTATGATCGTGACGTCAATTGACCTCATAAAATTCCCAACATCTATTTTTAGCCTTTGACTCGATCACGCTTAACAGTGTAGAAACCATATGTCAAAGAAAAATTGTATGTGGAAACTCTGACCGTTAATATCAAAATTGCGACTGAAGGATATATTTGATCCCCTTTAAAGCAGGTAGGGGCTTAAGTTACAAAAGGCACAAAACACATGGTTTCTAGACAGTAGGCCTATACATTGTAAATGAGATTCGCGCGTCACAGATATTTGCTTAATTCACCGACAACAAGGGCGTCCGCAGGGGGGGGGCTCAACCCCCATCCCCTAGAATTTTGGGACTGCATTTTTATTGTGGGTACCCAGCCAATCATTATTTCCCCCTTCAACGACTTTGAAACCCCCCCCCTGGAAAATTTTCTGCGGACGCCCATGCCTACAACTGCGTCCTTTCAGAACGTATATGATAGCCCCTTATATTGCCTACAGGGCCTATGTAAATTGTAGAGTTGAATTAGAAAAAGATAAGTGCAAGCGCTGCACAGAAGCTTTATGTTTATACTGTAGTTGCATGTTTGTTGAATTATTGTGAAATTGGCCGTTTTGTACAACATGATTTTTGTGCTTTAAATCTCCAACGATAATGTGACGGCCAAAAAGTACATGTAGTTCATTTGCGGAAATCATTTATTTTATCTTACGTGTGCATTTTGTTTCTCCATAATTTCATATTACACCTTATTTCCGGCAAACAAGTGTTTTCTAGAGGTAATGCTTCTTCGGATTTTACCCGGAAGTTACGGATTACTGATTATATCGATATTGAAAGCTGATCTTGATCTCAAGAAACTTCACAAAATTCCCAATTTCTGTTTTAGCCTTTGACTCAAAATAAACACAATAGTACGTACAGAAACTAGAAAAATCCCTGCCAAAGCATAAGTGAATGCGGAAGCTCTGACTGTTAACATCCAAGCTGAGACTGAAGGCAATAATCTAATTCCCTTTTTAAAACAGGTAGGTGCCTTTAAAAAAGTACATACATACACATTTTAATTGATTTTTGCTTAAAAGTATAGAACGAATGTCCCTTGTGCATGAAACAAAAACACATACAAAAATGTACGCTTTTAAATCCGCCGTTTATCCCATAGATGGTTATGTACAAGAATAAGAGTTAAAGTTTAAGTCTTCTTTTTTTTTTACAATTTGAAAAACCAATCAACGTCAAATCATGGGTTTTCTTACATTTTTGTGGAAAAATTTCGTCACCTATGCTACTTCAACAGCATGTAGATCCGAAGTTCAGAGGTCTCTTAATTGTCAGTAGCTTGTGAAATAAACTAATACTGTAATAGTTTACCTGCCAATGTGTCGTCTGCTTGTTCAGTAAGACAATATCTGTGATGGATACGATAATCTGCTAGTGTCACATCCCTGATGTGCTCATTAAATAAGATGCCCCCCCAGCCCCCCCCCCCCCATCTCCCTGTGGTACATGTATAATGATGACAGGGGTTGAGTAGCTCAGGGTGAGTTTGGCCTTACAAGACAGTTGTAGCTATGTCTGAAACTATTGATGAAAGATATTTGATCACATTTCCCTTGCATTCGCGACTTTTATCACAAGTAACTTGTAAACATATGTATTTCTAAACTGGAAATCAGACCCACCCTTGAAGTGTGATAGAAAGTCCTTTGAAGCATATTATTCAAAGAACTTAACTTTTATGTAAAGCAATCAAGATAACTGAAACTTTGGGGAATGCTCTTACATATATTAAACTCAGTCGAGCAAATTGCTTATAATTTGACAAACCTTTGTAGGATTTAATAAAATTGTTATGGGTTTTGTTTATTTTGCGGGGTCACCCTGTATGATATTTCAAGGGATAACAACTGTTCATTTTGGCCAACTGTTCATTTCCTAGGGTAAAGGACAATTTTTCCATACTTACCAACAGGTAAAGAATCCATTCCCACATTCAAATTTAGTCCTTTTTTTTCCTAAAAAGTTTTTTTGTAATATTCTCCTAAGAGCTTATTACAGAGCATAGCCATCTAGGGAGGTCACGTGGTGTGATGTATAAATTCCAGAATATTTTCGTTGACCACCGTTTTTTGGTGGTAAAATGGAATTTATTATATTCCTATGAGATGTTTAAAATGCATTTATTGTGAGATATGGATAACTTACGACCAGTTGTTATCCCTTTAAGAGATTAAAAATTAGTTTTCTGTTATGGGTACCTACAAGACAATGTTATTTCCTTTTTTATTTCCACAGTTGCATTCTCCTATAGAGATGGAGAGCATTATTGAAGGAAACCAACATTTGCAAGACATCGAGACCCTCGTTCAACAAGGGGAGTACACCGCCGCTTTACTGGCAATGAAGGAGGACGTGGAGTCCACATCTAACAAAATACTGTACAACTTTTACAAAAATACCTGCATGGCCTTGGATGATGCCAACTCGACAGACAAAGACATCTTGAAAGCCTTAGCAAACCATGCATTGGGTGTGGTTTATAGTGAAACCCTAAAGCACAGAGAGAAGGCAAAGGCATTGCCTTTTTACATAACAGCGAAGGACAGCCTGTTAGAAGTCGGGCTGCGACAAAAGGAACTTATATCCGATAATGTAAACGTGGCAGACGCTTTAATGAACCTATACGCGGCCATCGCCTGGTGTTACAATGTGAAATACGACTTTGAACAGCAACATGTTCACCTGAGAGGGGCTAGAGTCATAGTAGAGGGAAGGGGATTGAAAGAAAAAGCGGTATGCTTGCTGATGCAGTTGGGTCGCTCTTGCCTCAATCGGAAGGACTTAGAGAATGCGACTTACTATATATCCCAAGCCATAGATTTGGCCGAACAACTTGGCAGGAAAGACATTGTTGCAGCATGTTTGCTGTCAAAACAAGATGTCCGTGTTTCAGAAAGATACAACGATGCGGATTGGGAGGAAATGGAGAAAGCGCTGCAAATAGCCCAAGACATAGGGGACAAACTGTTGCTAGCTCATACCCATGTTTGTATCTCCAATGATCGCCGTGAGTTCGGTTCATACCAGGATTCTTTTGATCACGCCACCCTAGCTTTAAAAATTGCGGAATCCCTCGATGAAAACGACTACGATTCTCAAGAAATATTGAGTTTGTGTCTGACTTGCATGAGCAAAACTTGTACACTGGTAGGAAACACTGATAAGAGCACTGCGTTTTCTTGAACAAAACCGACGCGTTTTGCAGAACTTAGGAGACCGCGTTCGTCTTAGTGACGTGGAAGTGGAAATAGCTTACTTAACACTTGCAAAGACTGATTCTGAATCAAAAATTAACTCTTTATTTGAGCCAACTAAAAAATGCTATAAAGATGCAATAGATTTTGCTGATAAAATAAAAGACAATGACCGTTTATGCAAAGCAAACTACAAATATGCTGCTCTTCTGGAGCGATATGGATCTACAATGGACGCCATTTCGCATTTTAAATGGACAATTGGATTGGCCCGGGGCGTTAAAAACCTGTCTGTTAAGTGTTTATGCCATCAACATTTGGCGAAGATTTTCATAAAACAACGGGGATTCGTTGATGCGGAAAGACACGCTTCGGCATCTCTGCAACTGGCTATTGAGTTGACAAGTACAGAACTGCAGCAAATGTGCTACACGCTGCAGGGCTCTTTGTACAAGGCACAGGGTCTACTCAAGAAAGCCAGGACATCATACGTGCATGGAATTTCAATAGCGTCTTTTGTTCGAGAAAGAAAGTTGAATGACGATGACAACAAAATAGAATACTTCGAGTCGGTGATGGAGGGCTTCAATGCTCTCCAAGAAATTTATTTACAGCAAGAAGAATACACCGAGGCTCTGTCAGTGGCTGAGCAATGTCGAGCCCGGTCAATGGTAGATATCGTGTACGCCAGACGTCCTAGGGCAGATATCGCAAATCATATAAAAAGTCCAAAAGCAATCCACCGTGTTGTTAACTCTGCCAACGTACCGGTAGTTGTATTTGCCTTAATCAACGCCAAACTATTCGCCTGGGTCATCAGACCGCAGCAAGATGACGTTACGTTTCTTGACTATGCCGCCACGTGCCCAGACACTGACGTCACGGGGCTCTTAAGTTGGTTCTCCGTGCTGCGGTCACTCTCTCCACCATCCCCAGCTGGGAATCAGACCATCCCAAGTGTAAACTGGAGAAATATGTATATGGGCGGTTGGAAAGGTCGTACTCGAAATAGCTTGGACAGCGTGCTCGATTCTTCTAGCACCCATGACGTCACTTTAACGTCCAAAGGCAATGGTTTGAGGAACGCGTTTCGAAGGTGGTATGACGTCATCCTTGTTCCCGTGTTAAATGTGCTGAAAAAAGACGGAGATCGATACAGCAACATCGTCATCATACCCGACCTTCAGCTGCATTTGGTGCCTTTCCCAGCTCTCCTCATCAATGATTACTGCGCCACCGTTATGCCATCGTTGGAGATTTTAGCCTACTCCCTTCGAGAAGATTCATCTTTGAGTGAAGAGAACACGCAGCCCAGAGCACTAGTTGTGGGTAATCCTGCTGTCCCAGAAATCGACATTTGCGGACAAAACTGGACACCCTGCAATTTACCAGGTGCCGAAGATGAAGCGATTCTTATCGCGGAAATGTTAGGCGCGGAACCTCTTCTCCGAGACCGCGCACGACTTAGCGTTGTCAAGAAGGAACTACCTCGTGCTGACGTCATCCACGTGGCCTGTCATGGCAGCTGGTCCGAGACTGCCCTGGTTTTGTCTCCCGACGGGTCGCCAGAAGACGGGACCTTATCCAGCAGGGATGTCTACTTGACTGCAGAGGAGGTGATGGAGATGAAACTACGAGCTAAAATTGTTGTTCTCAGTGCCTGCCATAGCGGAAGTGGGGAGATAAAAAACGAGGGCGTGGTAGGACTGTCCAGGGCATTTCTAGTAGCAGGTGCGCTTTATAGTCTCCAGTTAGGTTTTCAAAGAGTAACATATACTTTTTGACTATGTTCATAAATCATTTAGTCATTTTTTTTATATTAAAAAAAAACAGATAAAATATTGGCGACTTTTGCTTTTTATTGTCAAAATGCACTTTGACGTAAGCATTCGCTTATCCTGTTCCCAGATTATTCATATAACATTATATTAACAATCCTTTTCTGGCCTAGGGAAGTGATTAACTGAATCTTAAAAAAACATGAAAATGTACATTGTATCTGTAGGAGCCAAGGCGGTGGTAGTGGCACTATGGCAACTGCCAGACCAAGCGACCAAATCTTTCATGACCAGCTTTTATCAAGATCTTATCGAGAGAAACACAGTCAGCCGTTCACTCAGGAATGCCATGCAAACCATGCAAGATCGGCCACGCACCGAATGGGCGTCTTTCACAATAGTTGGTCGTGACGTCAGTCTGTGATTGTAATTTTAATGACGTCATAAACAGAAGGCACGTCTCAGAGACAAGAGGGAACTTTATTCCCACGTGTGTAAAACATCATGATCATATATTGTTACTGACGCCAATGTATTCATTACAAAGATTTAATACTCGTATAAGGTTTCCCTTTTACGAACTTAAAATTTTATTCGACGCAATCTTGGTAAATTAATGGACACCTTAAAACTATCAGATGACCAAAGCAACATGCCCTGCACTCGACGTTGAAACCCCAAATTGATTTCTTAAGGGTATAGTGTCAGTCAGTGCTAGCCACCCCTCACCATTATATTAATGTCAAATATACCATTATCAAATATACCATTATGTCAAATATAATTCGCCGGAGGCAACAACTTTAGAACACAAACTTTTAAACACTGCAATAGTGACAACAAGATTGTAAATTAAAAAAAAAAACTTTTAAAGCTATATATGTTTTAACTTTAATTAAAATGTTCCTCGGGAGCTTAAAGTCAGAATGAGATTCAAAAGATAAAGTGTTTGTTTAATAAAATCTTTAAATGAAGCCTTTTGCAGGAAACCCAAATTGCATTGGACACAAGCATTAAATGTTCAACTGTCATTGGTGCTACATGTACAAGAATTGATCCTACAACTAAATTTGGTCGCACTCCAGTCTTTCTATTTTTTCATTGCCTGTAGCAAAAGACAGTAGGTCCAGGTTACTTAAAAGTGATGGTTTATCTTTAACGGAAATTGGACTTCTGTTTGGGTAAAGTGTATAAATGATAAGATAAGTATACAATAAATACTATATCAATATTTATCCAACGTAATGCTGGAAAATGTTGCGTCAGAAAAATTCCGCTCATAAATTAGAAATGTTTTGACATTGTAGCCATAGAGCGGCAATAAACAGAAGCTGAAGTATAAAGTGCACGGTTATCGGACAAAAGAGGACATTTTCCACGACAGCTATCGCACACTAAACAAATCTCCAAATCTCTCCAAATTCAAGGGCTTTATTTTAGTTTTTACCAAGAATAAAGAACACGGGAAAAGGTAAGCTTGCTTTAAGACATTCATTAATATAATATTTTGAGAAATTTAGACAAGCCAAGGCGTCAGTGGAATTTGTGTGACATATTGTTTAAGTTGTTAGTTTGAGTTATCTATATCCGGTGTCTGCACGACATTAATTATTGCGACAAAAAGTTCTTTCTTCAATGTCGGATTAGTGGGTGCCGCCAAACATTTCAAATACGTAATACGTGTAATGGATTGGTAGTATTGCCTCTAATTAAAAACCTGGTGCGATCTCTTTAATCTCTCTCTCATTCTATCTTCTTCTTCTTCTTTACCCCCCCCTCTCTCTCTCTCTCTCTCTCTCTCTCTCTCTCTGTTATTTGTTTTAACTTTGGCAATGTATACATGTAGCAGGTGGATGTCTAGAGTGTCTCCCTTGTTTAAGGTTATTTTCTTGCTTGGAGAAATGGTCTCCCCAACCTCCAGTCTGACTAATCAAACAAGCGCAGCGCCCTTAACTCAAACAAGCCTTGTAATGCCAGTTTCTGTACGAACACACGTTTTTATCTTCAAACAGCATCTTCTTGAGCATATGTATTTTCCTGTTTTGCAAGATCTCAAAGGGTTGGCGCTGAAGTTAGTGTCAGCACCCAATTTCCATAAATGGGGGAGTCTCACTAGATTACTGTCAGCTTGGCCGGCTTAAGCGTCTGTCCAGCCTACTAAAAGCTGTAAGGGGGTAATTAACTATGGTGCCCGCTCGGCTGACTGCAATTTAGCGTGAACCCCCAGGGAGTTAGGTCGATCTAAATCTTAATCTCTAGATCGATCTAAATCTCTGGGAAAGCACCAATAGGACTATACACGTAGTGTCTACAGGGTTGATACTTAATGTGGAATATCATTTTGGCGTATAAATTAAAAGACCGAAACTGAGGTGTCACTCTACAGGTATGTGTAGCCAGTTGTGTCACCTAATTACCACACAACTGTAGAAGCAATTGATGCGTGCAGTTGCATGTTATTTAGTCAGAAATGCACTTGTATGAAGGCACATGGATTTGGTCAATCTTTGGAGTGTATTTTGAGAAGCATCAAAGGGATCGCTCACAGGTTCGACAGCTGAGCAATACAGCTTACTTCTTTTTGATGAGTACTATACATGTGTTCGAGCAGATCAACAGTTGAATGTGCCACCACCTTGCAAAAATGCAATACGTCTGCGTCCTACGACAGAGAACGTACATGTATTTTTAGTGCCATTTGTATGTACATGTACGTGTGTTTAAATGGACCGCAAAAAGATAAACACAGGGGCTGTTTTAAACCGAAGTTGTTTATTAAAAGTGTTTTTTTTTTTTTTTTTTTTTTTGAAATAAGAATTCGTGCATAACATGGCTAAATAATTGCGTTTTAATATTTTTATATTGTTATATTATCTAAATATCAAGTATATTAAGTATTTGAATACCTACAGGGTATGTCACACATGTATGCAAGGAACATTGATTTTTCTTTAGCGTGTATTAATGAGTTTAGTTGTGTCTCTGGAACATCTACCTGAAGTATCTCATTTTCGAAAAAAAAACTGCTTTCTAAAGGTACATGTATACATGTAATATCACAGCTTCTTTAGATTCTCCCTGAAAGCTTGCGACGAAATCGATGATCATGACGTCAAATGACCTAATAAAATGCCCAACATCTATTTTAAGTATTTGACTCGATCAGGCTTATCAGAATAGTGTAAAACCACCAGTCTTTGCCAAAGAAAAATTGAATGTGGAAACTCTGACCGTTAACATCAAAGTTGCGACTGAAGGATATATTTGATCCCCTTTGAAACAGGTAGGGACTTCACAGAAAGCACAAAACACATGAATTCTAGACAGTGGTAAATGATATTCGCGCCGTCATAGTTCAATATTTGCTAAAATTACCTATAACTTTGTCCTTTCAGCATAGGCCCTTATAGTGCCTATATAAATTGGTGAGTGCTATTAGAAAAAAAGATAAGTACAACCGCTGTTGGTGTAAGTTTATGCTGTAGCTGCACTTTTTGGGGGGTGTTTATAAGTGAAATCAACCCTCTTGTAGAACATGACTTATCTGTGCTTTAAATCTTCGACAAATGTGAAGACCTCCAAACATGGATATGCAGTTCATTTGCTGAAATCAAATACTTTCTCTAATATGTCTCTTTGTTTCTCTTTCATTTCCTGTTTCACCTTATTTCCGACAAACAGTTGTTTTCTAGATGTACAGGTAATGCTTCTTCGGATTTTACCCGGAAGTTACGTATTACCGATGATATCGATTTTTTCAGCTGATCTTGACCTCATGAAACTTGATAACATTTCCAATTTCTATTTTAGCCTTTGACTCAAAATAAACACAATAGTACGAACAGAAACCAGCAAAATCCCCGCCAAAGCAAAAGTGAATGTGGAAGCTCTGGCAAGCTGAGACTGAGGGCAATAATCTACCAGTAATTTCCTCTTTAAAAGTAAGTGCCTTAAAAAGTAAATACACTTTTTAAGATGATTTTTGCTTAAAAGTATAGCACGGATGCTGCTTGTGCATGTAACAAATACGCTTTTAAAGCTGTCGTTTGCGGTTACATGTTATCCCTTAGATGGTCTAATCTACCAGAATATGACTTAAAGTTAAAGTCTTTGATATTGTGCTTTTTTTCTTTTTTTACGATTTGTGAAACCCAACAACGTCAAATCACTTGTTTTTTTTTTTTGTTGAAAATATTTATCAGCTATGTTACTTCAACAGCAATTTGCATGCAGATCCGAAGTTCAGTAGTCCCTTTGTCAGTAGCTTTAGACATTAACTGATAGTTTATCATCCAGTGTGTCTTCTGCTTCTTGAGCCAGACATTATCTGTGATTGATACGATAACCCGCCAGTTACTGTTGTGTTTGGAGTCAGATCCCCCCCCCCCCCCCACCCCCTTGTGGTACAATGTAGAAATGGGTGAGTTTGACCTCGCTGGACACCTGTTGTTATTTCAAAAGCCAGGGGCGGATTTAGGGGGGAGGTGTCAGGGAAGTCCCAACCGCTTTCCCCCCTTTGATTTCTTAAAAATAAAACAACACCAATGGCCCCCTCTTAAAAGTAGACATTTGACTAGCTGAATCATAGTTCTAAACTGTACAAAATAGACCAATAAAATACCAAAATCTTACCGGGCCTTTCAGCGGGCCCAAAACCCACGCCAAGAAGGTGGGGGGGGGGGGGTCGGCTTCGCATCCACAATCCCCCTTCTAATAATCCTGGATCCGCCCCTGTAAAGCTATTGACTAATGATCTTTGACCACAGTTCTCTTGCATTCCCGACTGTTATAACATATAACATATAAATATATGTATTTTAAAATTTGACATCAGACACACCCTTACATTTTGATAGCCTTATAACTGAAACTTTCTTGTCTCTGACACGTCCTATTAGTAGTGGTACTGAAATGTGATCAGTGACATTTCTTAAGTAGAACGTGGGATTCTTTTCATTTCATCGAAATCACCATTTCATCGAAAATACAGGGTGACCCCCACCCCACCCAACGTTCAGGGGCACAACATTTACCGGGCTTGAAATCCCCAAGTTTGGGATACCAGGGCCGTGGCCTGAGCAAAATGCCACGGAGGGCAGAAAGCGGACATGAGGGGGCGAAGCCCCCGAGAGGGGAGGGGGTGTTCCCCTACCACTGTGGAATATTTTTAATCCCAGGGGGGGGGGGGGGGGGC